CCCGGGCATGAACGGCATGCTGAAGGTGCTGTACGGCACACTGCGCATCGCCTGCATGGACACGCTGCCCGCCGGGGCCGCCGCTGCCCCGCCGCTCCCCGCCGCTGGCAGCGGGCCGTGTCTTCGCGCCCTTTTCCGCTCCCGCCAGCACTACACGCCCTCCTCGCCGCCCTGCCTGCTCTCGCCGCACACCGACAACCTCCACCAAATCGACGCCGTGGACGGGCCTGCCGCCTTTCTCGACATCCTAGCGCCGCCCTACGACCCGCAGCACGGCCGGGACTGCCACTACTACCGGCTGCTGGAGGGGCCGCCGGCGGGCGCGGAGCCGCCCGCGCTGCCGCGGGAGGTGTGGTTGGTGGAGACCCCGCAGGCCGCCGACTTCTGGTGCGGGGGCGAGCCCTATCCTGGGCCTCGCGTCTGCCTGTGAGTCGCCGCCAGCGGCCCGTGCCGGGCGGCGGCCTCGGGACGATGTGCGTTCGCCCCGCCGAGAGGGGAACCCGCCGCTCCCCGCCCGGCCCCCCCTCCGAGCCCGCCGGACAGCAGCACCGTGGGGACGCGGTGTTCCGTGCTGGCTAGAGCTTCGCGGGAGTGCCGTTGGTCAGAGCCTTCCTCTGATCACGGCTTCGTGAGTCGGGGAGATAAAGCGGCCAGAACGTGTTTTTACCCTTGGGGCCGATATGCGGGAGCAGCACGGTTGACCTTCTCAGCTGAAGGGTCGGGGAAATATTCCAGTATCCTGTGTAAATAGGGCCACGCATCAGGGAGGGGGGAGGTTCAGGCTCCAAAGGGAGAGTAAATGCCATAAGAATTGTCACAGGGTGCCCCTGCTTTTCCCAGTGGGGTTCCCACCGCCAGAGCTAGCTGGCACCATAGGACCAGGGGACTGGACCCACGGAGTTTGGAAAAGGGGGTTGGTCTGGCTACAGCCTTTGGGGACTGTCTCCAGGGCAATTCTCAAGAAGAGCTGTACCCTGCTAGTAAAAAACAAATCCAGAACAACTCCTGAGCCAGGACATACTCCTCCAGTAAATGCCAGTGATCAATCCCCAGCGCTGGAGTTAAGGAAATTACTACTCCACATGGACACCGTCAGGTTCGGAGTTACTTTTCAACAGTTCTTTAAAGTGTTGTATACAAGATCTCACTATTTCAACTGAGAATTACTGAATGCATCTATGCATACTTCCTTCAGCTAGAAGGAGACAGCTGCTAATTAACCTCGCTTGGAACCTCTAACGCTGCAGTGGCAGAAGGTGGCAGAAACTGGGCATCATAAGAGAAAAAACAACCATCCACTGTTGTGGAAACTATTCTAGAAACACGGCGTATTTGCAAACCCTCAGTATACAGCAGTGCATAGCCTAGGATTTGATCTGGTGTCTTCTCTTTAAAGAGTGGTCTGTGTTTTTATATGTGAGCACATGGGCTTTTGAAACCTTGCAGTTTCCCTCTTTATACTATTTCTAAAGACTACTTTTTCATAAGGCTTTTAAATAAATGTAGAGTAGAAGAGACATCATGAATTTCAGCTTGCTATGATGGAAGCGATCTGGAGATGCAGTTTGTCCACGGCAAGGGATGCAATATTTCTAACATGGGAGAAAGTTTTTCTACAGGTGAAATGCCCCATCTGTGCTGCAGGGACTGGTCTCGTGGCTGTTCATCCTAACACACACTTCATACCACAAACCCAGGCCAAGGCAGCCTTGGTGATCTTACTCAGGATGTGAGAATTTGAGTAAGAAAACACAACTCAGAAACCTCCTAAGTGATGTACTAACCTGCTCCAGAAATCATTTCACAACTGGCTTTACTTTTCTGCGTATTTATAAAAGCAGACTTGTTTTTCCTGTACAGTGGCTTGTATGTGTGAACTTTTAAATTATTCTGATATAGCATTGCTGCTGGTTGGTTTTTTTTCCTGGCCTGCAAAAGAATGAATGTAATATACAGTCAGCATTATGCATGCATGGATTAATTCTTTTGCAAAGAAAAAATTGTAGAAATTATTTCAGGCAATTTCCATTTATTCTTAGAGCAGTTAAAGGTATCTGATATTTCTGCAGCTGGCTTACCTGTTTTTCTTGGAATTCCCCTGCAGCTTAGCATTAGTTAATATTTAAGAATTCTTGATCGAATGTAGTCATTAATTATAGGGCAATGCCTCCCTGTGTTACAGCCTGTTTCTACCTCTCTCCAAGCCTAATGAGGGCAGTTACCCTTTTTCAGAAGTCCACAAAGAAGATAGTATAGTGCATGCAAACAGCTGTACTGGAAAAACAAACTGCGACAGTGAGCATTTTTTATGCCATCTGTTCTATCCTCCCCTTAGGTCTTTCTGCTGAGTTTTTAATTTTTTTTCCTCCGTGTGTAAAACCTAGTCAAGATGTTTAGTGGGACAGTATTTAATTTATCTTTCCGAAGAAGACAGTATGGTTATGCTGCGGAGTGCTGTTAACCATGGCAAAACTTTTTTTTTTTCATTTTCTTTTTTAAATTAAGGTATTAGTATCTAAGTATTTAAAGCTGGAAAAATAGCAAAGAAAACCTGAGATGCATTTTTTAAAAAGCCTCTTTGTGTAACTTCTTCCTTACTCTCTAATTGAAGCTTATTTCCTATGTTTTGGATACCTGTAAGCAGAAGGTTTAAGTCTGAAATGCAGCCTAGTTATTGTGTTTTCACAACAGCAAAATAACTGTTATTGCTGAGTTGTAGAATAAATACAGGATATCTCATCACTGACCAGTCATTACTTTCCTTCACAAGTATGATAACCTCAAGCCAAGTATGGTACAGAGCCCTAGTTTCTTTTGCTGGACAGTGCAAACTGGCTTTTCCTTGGGAGGCAATGCTTAGCACTGGATTCTTAGCCTGGATCTTGCAGGCAAATCCAGGCACATATGCTATTGCTGCTTTTGAAGCTGGCTCTCACTGTAAGGCAAAGACAGGAGTGTAGGGCCATTGATACTATGCCCTGTGAGGTGCTCTTGTAGCTGTACACTAGTCACCAGCAGTTTCCTTAGTTCACTTTTTTTACGATTTCTGTGTTGTTTATAACATTTTTGCTTTTGATTTGGGTTTTAATTTTGTAGCATTGCTGGAGAGGGTAGAGTGCAAGGGAAGCCTCGGACTGTGTGTCTGGGTACCTGAGATACAAATTTTGCGCAGGATGCTCTGGCTGTGACTGAGCTGCGGTTATCCAAGGCTGTGGCAGTACCTGCAGAAGTCCAGCAGGCAAGGAGGCCGCAGCTTCTACATGACATCCCTCCAGCAGCAGGCTGTGGTTTCTAGTGTGCCAGGACCACATGGCATCAGGTGGCAAAATTGCAAACCAGGATGTGAAGGCTTACTTGTGCTGCTAAGGTGAATGGCAGGGGAGTGAGTGCAGCTTCTCCTCCACAGGCTGGTCCATGCCCAACTTTAGAAGCTGTCTTGATTCAGAACCAGACATGTCACTTCAACTCCCACTGAAGAGCAGCTGCCCCAAAAGCCAGCACAAGTTCCAGAAGGTGGGGAGCAGGGATTTCTATCAGACAGAAAAGGCAGGTGCTGCTGGGGCTTTGCACTACAGGACCTAATACCTGGGCAATCAGAGGCTGGGAGCCACCAAGAAAGGTCTTAAGCCCCTCGCCCTGCTGCGCTGGACTATGGCGTTAGTGGTGCTCACTTCTGCAGTGTGGGCCGCACAGGGGATCTGTGTGGCAGAGGGGCAAGCCCGCAGGGCGCTTACGGACCTTCACCGACGGCAAGATCCGAGGGTGAGCCGAGACCGGCATAACATCTTAAAAAACAATAACCAAAGTAAGTTTGCAAAAAAAAAAAAAAAGAAAGCACGATATTGCGGCCGTGTGGCTTCAGTAAAAACAGTCCGGCTGTGCCGTGGGGGTGAGCACCGCCGCCTCGGGCCGCTGCGGTGTCCCCCCGGGCCCACCGCCGCCCGCGCAGCCCCGCGCCGCCGGGAGCCGCTTACCCCGAGCGGCGGCCGTCGGGGCAGCGGTACTTACTGTTCCAGAGCCCACTCGCGGAGGTTGCCTGGGGCGGATCGTAACCGCGGAACAAAAGAAAATGAGTCAAAAAAAACCCACCCTGCTCCCTGGTTAATATTATCCCGTCTCTCGTCTCCGAGGGAAATTCCCGCGCCCAAAAGCGAGTGTTTGTACGCTGGGGCCGAGGCCGCAGGTTTTCCACGCCGAGGCTTTGCGGAGGGGTGCGGTGTGCCCATCGGACCCGGGCCACCCCGCAGCCCTCCTCCGCAGGGACCCGGCTCGGGTCGGGAACAAGCGGGCGACACCCCCTCCCTGGGTCAGGCCAGGGAACCTACGGAAATAAAGATGTCAATTTAGCATAATTAAGAGATTTATTTGTCGTCTTTTATAAATTTTATAAGCACCTACCCTATTGTCGAAAAGTTTATTTACAGAGTGGCCAGAGAGATATCCCCCCCTCTCCTTCCAGCCCCCGTTAGTGGTTGTGCATTATTCGTGTTACCTGCGGCCGACCACGGGGGCCGGTCGCAGCCCGAGTATTTACATCCTGTCCCAAGTCCTACTACAAACGGAACACTTATAAATCACCAAAAGGAAAAACAAAAGCAAAACCCCAAGACAGTGCGTACAAAAATATAGTCTTTAAAAAAAAAAAATCCCAATATTAATAGGCAGAAATGTACAGCCATACTAAAACCAGGGAGGGAAAAACTTTCCGGTCTCGGTGTCGCCGCTGTCGTCGGAGCGGATCGGTAAGGCACCCCCCACATGCAGACAGGAGACCGGGCTCTACACCACACAAGGCACCAAGGACACCTCACCACGACGGCACTGCATGCATCTATCCTCCCACCGCAGCCCCTATGTACACTCTCCGCTCCGGCCCGCCCCGGCCCGGGGAAGCCCCGCGGCGCCGCCAGGTGCTCGTCGCGCCCCGCCGGGCCCCGCTCCGCTCCACGCCCGCCGAGCTCGGCGGCGGCTCCGCGCTGGGTCCTGCTCGTTCCATGCCGTCAGGGCGTCCGCGTTCGCGCCGCGCAGGGGGCCAGGGCGGCGGTGCCGGTGCCACCGGCGGATTGCGGGCATCCGCCAGCGGCGGCGGCGGCTCCTTTCCGTTCCTTCTGGCGCAGGTGAATCTTGGTGTGCCGCTTCCTCTCGTCGGAGCGGGCGAACTTCCTGCCGCAGAAGTCGCAGGCGAAAGGTTTCTCGCCCGTGTGCGTGCGGATGTGGGTGGTGAGGTGGTCGCTGCGGCTGAAGTTCCGCATGCAGATACGGCACTGGAAGGGCTTGTGACCCGTGTGGATGCGGATATGCCGGGTGAGCTCGTCGGAGCGGGAGAAACGGCGGTCGCAACCCTCGGCGGGGCACGGGTAAGGCCGCTCGTGGACCGGCGTCTTGCTGGGCCGATTGGGGTACTTGCGGGGCCGCAGAATGGGCCGCAGCGGCAGATGGTGCGGGCTGTAGGCGCCGGCGGGCAGCCGGGCGCCCGCACCCTCGCCGCCGCTGCTGCTGCTGCCGGGAGCACTGCCGGGGGCGGCGCCCGCCGGGGGCGCCCCCATCGTGAAGTTGCGGATGGTGGAAAGCGGCGTGAGGGGCGGTGGGACGCGGAGCGAGTCGAGGGGGCAGGGGAAGGGCTTGCGGTCTGGGCCGGCGTGGAGCTCTCGCTGGCACTGAGGCGGCGGGAAGAAGCCGCCGTACTCGGGGATCATGGTGAAGAGCCCGCCGTCGGCCGTCGCTGCCTTCGGTGAGGGGTAGGAGGGAGGCGGGGGAAAAGGCAGTGCCCCGCCGCCGGCGGCGGGCAGGAAAGCCGAGGAGGGGTCTTGCGGGTACAGGTCACCGCAGCCCGAGTAGGGCGGCGGCGAGTAGAGATGCTCCAGGTCGGCTGGCTGGCTCTGTGCCATGGTGCAGCTGAGGGCCCCGGCCAGCGGGTTGGGGGAGGTGGCGGAGGCGGCAGTGGCCGAGGAGGCGGCGGAGGAGGCGGCGGAGGAGGGCGTGCTGACCCCCTGCAGGATCCCCGCGCTCACGATGTTGATGATGCCCTCGGGGTAGCAACCGGCGCCAGGGTACTGCGGGTCAATGGAGAATTTGCCCATGTAGGTGAAGGTCTGATTGCGAGAACCCGGGGCGTTGGGCGCGAAGCCGCCACCGTAGGGCAGGTCCAGGGCCCGCTTGTCGCCCATGTCCACGTTGATCATGCCGTCTGGGGGAGCAAGGAGCAGGTCAGCCCTCCTCGCCGCCGCTCGCTGAACGACCGGCACCGTCTGCCCCGGCCAAGCGAGGGGCTGCGGTGCGCACATGTTGCACTCCGGATGCAGGGGGACTTCGTGCCGACTGCAACTTTCCCCCCGCTCCGTGCTGGGTGCAGAGGTAGGGCTGCCGCGAAGGGGCGGCAGGGACCTAGTGCCGGGTGGCGATAGAGCCCTGGAGAGGGTCCCGGCGCCGCGTCCCAGTCCGACCCCCGCCCGCCGCCCTGAGTCTCCGCCGCCCTGCCGCTCTCCGCGGGCGGCCCGGTCCGCACCTGCGAGGGCTCTGCTTACCTCCTGCTACACCGCTCATCTGGTCGAACGGTCCTGCCAGGTCGGCATTGGGGAAGATCGCGACTGAAGTTGGCAGCCCGGCGGAGATGTCATCCGCGGGGTAAATGCCCTCGGGGAGCTGGTGCACGAACCCACCGAGGGTCACTGGGATCTTGTCTACCGCCTTGGCGGTCATCATGGGGGCAGCGGAACGGCCGGGGGAGCGGCGCTCCCGGCCGGCGGTGGGCACTCGGGGAGGGGAGGGAGAGGAGGGGGCTCTTCCCGCTGCCTCCCACTACCAGCGCGGGGGAACCGCGGGGATCCGGCGCGGCATGTGCGGGCGGGCGGGCGGGCGGGCGGGCGCCCCGTCGCGGCGGTGCTGTGCCCGCGGTGCCCCGGGAGCGCCGCGTTCCCGTCGCAGCTTGCGCTGGAGGACAAGTCTGGCGGTAACTATTTATGGGGGCCCCCTGAATGCCCGGGACGTCACTGCCCATATAAGGACTGAGGAACGGGGCCCGGCGGTCACGTGGGCACCCGCGTGCGGGACCCGCCGGCCCGCGCCAGCTCCCACCCCCCCTCCCTGCACACCCTCCGCGCTCCGCGGGGGCGGCCCCGACCCACCCCGGCCGCGCTCGGCCCCCGCCACCGCCCGCCGCGCCGCCCAGGGGGGTATTCCGGTGGCGGGGTCCTTGTCCTAAAAAGGCGAGGATCCGGCCCCGCCCCGCCTGTCCTTTTAGGGCTCGTTCCGGAAAATTTGTAAAAGGTTCGGAAAAGCAGAGGAGGTCCCGGGGCCGCCCCGCCAGACCCCGCTCACTTTCTCAGCAGCCTGTAACCGCAAACCGGCGGCGGATCAGGAAACAGCCACATTCACGGAATATAACTTCTCTTTTCTCAAAGAAAAAGTAATTTTTATTTTTTTTTTCTGAATTACGAGTGGAAATAGCCACCGAGCAGAGCGACTCGGCGGCGCTGTTTGTTTTGGAAAGTGTCTGATCTATATATACCGTCGCGAAAACGGAGCCGCCTGCTCCGCCATCGCTGGGTTGTTATTGTATGGACGGGACGGGGAGGGATGGCGGGGGAACACGAGTGCCCCCCTCCGCCCCAACTCGTTCCATTCTGACCCTACCGTTCCCACTTTGCTCAGTTCAACCTCTTGCTCCCACAGTTTCCATTCTCAGTAACACTTCCACTGCCAATTTTGCTTTATTTCTCCATGATCTCCTCCATAACGAGGGTATCAAACCAAAGAGTGCTTAAATTCTGGCTTTTTTTTTTTTTTTTTCTCCAAAGTACTAAAAATAACCTCCCTTGTGCCTCCCTTCCCAGGAGAAGCCAATCTTTCATACGCTTTCATACACTAAGCTTCTACAACTTCTTGCTGATGAGGGTGTCAGATATAATTATTTTTGAAAGCTGTATCCTGTGTCACTAATCTCATTACTTGGGGATATTTCATCTCATGGCTGTTGATTACTGCATTTAGGAAAGCAACTCTCACATATGGTCTGTAGTGTGCAAGGTTCCTTTTCAATAGTCTACAGTGAAAAAAAAACCCAACCCATTGACAGCCCAAGCAGCAGCAAGACATGGCAACATATGAGACATATTATGACAGTGCATTCCTGTTCCAAAGCAACAAGCCAGAGAATACATATGAAGGCTAAAAACTCTTCACTTTTATTTTTAACTGCAGATACCAATATTTATGGCTCTAATACATTACAGCCTGCGTCATAGAAGAAGGGTGCCCTCAGGCATCCTTATGGTGCATGGACTTACCTCTGCCTTTGCTCCCCGAGCACTGCCACAGTGTCTCTCAGGATCCTCTTTATCCATGCCACACCTCACACCCGAGCTTAGAAAGGCTCTTTCAGTTCCTCCTGTTCACTGCCTTTGGTGATGCTCTGGGTTCATTACTTGTTCAGGCACTATAGAATCCAGACTAGACAGCAGCATCCCTGAAAAAGTAAAGGTTTTAGGGGCATTCGCTAAGGAATAGTAGGCATTAACCCAGATATTTGCTTTAATGGGAGATCAGGGAAGTACACACAGTAATTAATAAATATATAACAGTGGTTTTTAACATAGATTTTTGTTACCAGTCCTTTCTAGCACTTAATGTACAGCCAATACAGTTTGACATATGAGATTTAGTTGAAAGCAAGCTTTCAGTGGGATTCTAGGTATTTTCATTTTAAAAACCATCTCAATTTAAAAGATAAGTTTAAAATTTTGACAGAGAGACAGGTTCTGGGAAATTTGACTGAGAAGTAAGAGCAATTGTATTGTACCTTTCTGTTACAGCTGAGCTATAATTGGTCTAATCGCTACTATGAAAGAACAAAATATTGGAATCTGTTATGCAGTGGGGCAAGTTACTTGACATGAATTTGAGAAACAGTAACTCTAAGTGCAGTATCCTCCTTACTCCAAAACATTGCAGATATCTCAGATTTAGGGCTTATGGATATTCTAAATAATCTTGTATTAATTCAAAATATCACATGCTTACTGATGACACTAAATCATCATGCACACAGAAGAAAGAGAACCGAGGTTTCACACTCCACCTTAATCCCCCCATGAATCAACTCTAGCTTTGAACTAGCTTGGCTAATTTCATGTTCTTCCACCATGGAAAAGGATTCAATGAAAGACCGACACAAATAAAATTTAACTTCACCTGTTGAAAATTACTTTAGTTGACTTGGTTGCTTAATTTTAAAAGGCTTCTTAAGAATGGAATTAATTGTGTCTGATTTCCAGCCTTTCCAGGAGCAATCAAATCACTCAACATCTTTCAGTGGGGGCTTTGTCTCAATGGCAGCAGGATTTGGTGTGGGGCGAGATGGAAGCATACTTAATGATCAGTTTCAGGAAGTTGTTGACAGATGGAACTCAAATGTTTCTGGGTCCTTTTCACATATCCTTGCTGTATTGCTTTGCACCTTCGATGCCCATTTGGCTGATTACAGCAGACTGTCCAGCTCACAATGACATCAATAGCCCTCACATGCAGAAATATCCCACTGATTTCTCTGGTTCCTCTAAACCACGTGGTTTCATATGACAGACAGATTGTTGCTGCAAATTGCCAAATCCCCAATCACACCAAGAGCTTCAAATATGCATGACCTCTTATTGGATATAGCAGCAATTGAGGAGAGCTGAAAGGCAGAATTTCTCTCCTATTCCCAACTTCTTTGAAACTGGGCCCCTTTGGATTTATTACATTTGCTCTTTTAACAAGTTGCTAGCTGACATTGCACTGGAGGTATATTTTCCTTCAGTCATTCTCTACCACAAGTACCTGAGACAGAAGTTGTAGAAATAAAATCATCTTTGCCTCCATACCTGAGTTGAGAGTGGCTGAGGAAGAAAAAGCAGTTTGTCATCTGTAGAGCTGGCAACATATTTAACCAGCTTAGCATCACACATTTGAGTAATCTCTCCAGGGGGTTACTACGCTTTTGAGCAAAACTCACCTGACCTCCTGTGCTAACAGCAGCGATGCTAGTAGGCCTGCATGGGAAACACCCTGCCGGTGTGTTCCCCTCTGCATTGTGCTGCTTTCAGGAGGGTTAAGGTGGCCCCAGCTCAGCAGGTGCCCTAGGGAGTAGGAACTCATTTGGGAAGAGGGAGTTGTTTACAGATTGGAGACGAATGATCCTGACAACAGCAGAGAATGCCTGTCTTAAGTGTGGGCTAGATTAATGTTGGGGTTAATGGGTTTTTAATGTTTCATGTAAAAGAGAAAATCTCTCCAAAAGCTGGATTTCAGAGTTTCCTAAATTTGCCCCTTTTTACTCGGGGTAGAAAGATTTGTCAGGTCCTTCAGGAAGAAATGCTCGTTTACTATTTCACCTTCTGTTTTGGCCAAGGGTGTCTGCTGGATTCCCATGCTGCTAGCAAAAGCCACTCACTTTCCTTCCTTCTGCCCTGCCAGCCCCTCAAACGACTGAAATAGGCTCTTAGTCTGCACTGGGCAGTCACCAAAACCTGGAATCCAGCCAGGAAAACCTGCCGTAAACATGAACCTACAGAAAACATCTGGCTGACTGCTGGCATGCTAGGGGAAGGGGATAGTTAAGGAGCAGAGAAGGCATCCCAGTCTGCTATTAATTACAGTACCTTGGAACCACTCTCTGGTTTTCAGCCAAGGCTGCTTGTTGTCTTACAATGAATGCCTGAAAATTTGAAATAAGTAAATAACTTTATTGTGAGAACTTGGCTTAGGATAGTAGCAGCAGCATTCTGAAGGGCTATTTAAATGTCAATAACTTTCTCTAATTCAGGCTATAGGAATCAAATAAACCCATATGGAATCAATAAACTACTGGTTTAAGTTTGTGCGGATGTGAATAAGTATGTATGACGGAGAAAACTTCCAGTCAAATAAAAGCAACAACAAACTTGTTTACTTATTCTCGTTATTAAACACGTAGAACATTTCCTTGATGTTCTTGTACATGGTTTCTAGCATATATATAAAATCAGTAGTCCTTCCACTCACCCCATGAGTTTCCCACGGAACAGATGCTCCGGCCGCCGTCGGGAGGAGAGCGGGGAGCGTGTGCGGGCTCCACTGCCCTCTCCTGGGGAAAGGCGCTCCCGGGAGCCAGCAGCTGAGCAAAGAGCAATTGGGCTGAGTTTTGCTGGCGTCACCGTATAACAGCACCCCTAAAGGTTTCCATCACAGTCGTGCTACCTATAGAGAGACTTTAGCGCTGTTGAGTCAGAGATCTTTGGCCACAGCCTGTGGCCGCCACAACCCCAACAGTGTCGATGAGGGATCACGTACTGCAGTGAAGTGTTGAAAGCAAGCCACAGAGGGGCATCCCTGCTGAAATGCTAAAATATCAGCTCTGCATGCTGCTTGCTGGCAGAGCAAAGAAAATGATTTAAAAAAAAAAAGAAAAAAAGAAAAAAAAAGAAAAAAAGAAAACAGAAATTGCTTCTCAGCTGCGAAAATTGCTGGGATACACATGTCATTCATGAGACGACTCAAAATAATGATAACTTTGTTTCTAAATAGTGATAGTCTGTCTGCAAAGCTTTATTTTCCAGTAATTTCTTCTGAAACTAGTTTCACTTACCTTTGTATTTCCTTCTCCAACATGCCTCTTGTGTTTTGTATAAATACTGCCTTGTCCCATGTCTGGGCCTCCAGTCCAGAGAGAGCCTAATCGAGCACAT